GTGTAGGGATTTTAAGGCCAAAAAGCCTTCCAAGGTTTTTCCTCTTCAGATGAATTTCTACAAAGGAAGTCACTGCCTGCCACTCACCATAAGTATACAAACCCATGTAAAGTTTAATACGGAAAGATACCTTAGAGTGGGAATTCCTAATGCATTTAGGCACAATGCCATTTGAGTAAAAATTAAGCCTAAAACTTAATTGCTACATTGTAGCTTGATTTTAAGTTATTTATCAATAAATGTTTCAGGCTATTTATCATTCTTTATCTGTTGCTGAAAATGTCAAATTGCTACCTACAATAATAGTACTTGTCTTGAAAATGAACAAAAGTGGCCCTGATGCTTCTGCCTTCTGGGCATGAGAAACTCAGGGCATGATTCAAGGAGCACAGTGTCACCACAAAATAGTGTATGTGTGTATTATTGTTTTAATATATTTTTATTGCTTGTGACTTAGAAGATCTACTTCAAAATCTGTAACAATAGATCTGTCATCTTCTCCTTCAAATAGGATGGAGAAGTACATGAACTCCATGTCTAAATTCTTTCTAGTGCCCGACAGCTGAATTACTCAAATAGGAAAGTGCTAAAGCTGTTTTCCAATGTTTCACAAAGATACCAGGGCACTGATGATGGCATCACTCTTAGAATTCAAATGGAATGGTCGAATTCTGTTGCATTTGTGGTCATTCTTTTCAAAGCAATCCTCACCTGAACCGACTTTGAACCATATTCTCCAGCGACTACTTCCTCCTCAGCATCCAGGTCAGATGCTTGCAGGACTTTATTGAGAAGCAGCTGCTGTTCTTCTCTGGTTGAAAATGAAAGCTGTTCTTCATCCATACCTGCAAGCTTTGTTATTACCTAAGAAACAGAGCACGGCACAAGGTGAGAGCTCTTCCTCCTCAGCGTTAGGTGTTCCAAACCAAGACAAGGATTTCTGATTCCATATCCTGTTGGAACTGCCTTCAACTTCCATTAATGATCTGAACGCTTAACACGATGGATAGCACAGATACACATAAAACCTAGCTAAGTGGTGTACATATACACACATGCAGCCCTTGTTATATTCTATCTGGAAATGCAGAATACAAACTTGGGGGGGGCAAAGCTCTGGACAGAATATGTCAGCCAAACACTGTCCACACCAGCTTGATCAAGAACCTGACCAAAGCACAGACAGCTCAGATGAATATTCAACTTACTGCAAGATTTGCTTCATGCCGTGGGCTCTAGATTGTCTAGTTTAAGAGCTAGTACCTTATATTTAACAAAAATAATCCACTAGCTTTCCAGACACTGAGAATTTTAGCAATAAACATTTAGGAATATGGGAAGAAAAAGGCTATCAAATTGAGAAGTATGATCAGTTGTTGAAAGACAGCACAGCAACAAAGCACCAGCAGCAGAGCAAAAGGACTCTCTCAACATCTGTGGACTTAGGGACAAGGTAACTTAGCTGTTAAGTTTGCTCTCTTTGAAATTCTCAGTGACCCATTTGATAGCCATGGATGCAGGGCCCCTGCCATCTACTGGCAATACAGAGCCATATACTCTGTCAGTTGAAAAACCTCTTCTGAAGAACTGCAACGCTCTCAAGCTTCACAACAGGCAGTTTGCTTTCTTAAATAACGGTATCTTGAAAATTCTGCAATAATTTTTCATGTAGTTAAATGCATTCTGGTAAACATATTTTTATACATGACAATTGCAGTTTCCCCACTATGTTTCCAACTTGAAGTTCTGACAAAGACATTTTTATTTAGCCATTTCCCTTGATTATGTAGTGTTTCCCTTCCTATCTTCCTTTTTCAGCTTATCTGTTGAGTCAATACAATTAGAAACTAATTACCTGAGTAATCCGGGATGGATCTAATCACAAAGACCAATAACAAAGTGAAAAATACAGCTTAAGGCAAAACAAACCCATGTTAGACACAAGATACTGCTTCTGGAAAACAGGGCAGTGAAACACTAGAATGACTAATCAGTGCTGTGAGCTCTTGTCAAGGGCAACTTCTAATTCGGAAAGGGATGTCTTTCTGAGAAATGTCCTACCTTCAAGAATCCATTCAGGGAAGCAACCTGTCCTACTGTAAGGCTAGAGGAACACTCTGGTTCCCCTTTCTTGCTTATTTAGAAAGGCATGTGCTATGATAATCTCAAAAATAAAGAAAAAGGAGTCACAAAAAGCAATTTTAAACTGCATCAGCCTGTTTCCAGTTGTGGTTGCAAAACAGTGTTAACGTGATTCATAGAATGGAAAGAATTCCCACTGCATCATTGTATTTTTAAGCTGTTTAACAGATGCCACGTTTAACATTATCCCCAATTCTCTGATACAGTGAGTTCTTCTGCTATTGTGTTAAAATTCAATACATCCTACATTGAGCCTCTAAATAAAAACCCAATGCAGTAAATAAACAAACTAGAGTTAACCAACAAAAACCCCTGCCAGCAGTAAACTGCAAGCATGTGATGACAATGCTCCTACTTAAGAAGCAGACAAAATACGTGATTTAGCAAAAAAATATTATTCCAGTTCTCTTTTTTGATGAAAAGCAAAGAATGAAGCTATTGAGAGATAGCAAGAAGAAAAGTGAAAACTGTTACCCTTTTAAAGGAGTAATGAATTTTTAGAATTTAGGAACAAACACACTGAAGGAGAGGGTATCAGCACTGAAATAATTATCTAAAGATGAGGTAGAGTCTCCGTATTTGGAAGAATAAGAAGGCAAACATCTGCTGGGAGTGACACACACATAGTTGATCCTTGTTTGGAATGAAGAAACACAATAGGTGGTTTCTTAGACGTTCCTTCCAGCCCCACTATTCTTTGATGCCAGCTATGACGAAGGATTAAAAACTGGCAAACAGAAGAAAACAGATATTCTAACATTTTGTTCCTAAACTGCAAATAAAGGTCATTCCAGTACTGGGCAGCTAAAATGTTGCTCCAGATACTCAGCTGCCACTTGCACTGCTTTTTTCCCCAAATTACACCAAAGTTCCTAGGACCAGGTCTTCCTTGCAAAATAAAATTCCTCTATTTTAACCTCTTTCTTAGTTCTAAAATCCACAGCATTCAAAGATAATAAAGTGATTTCTCTCATCTTCTTGGCTATAGCTACATAGATGCCTTTGCTGTAATTACTTGCAACTTAGTACTGATCTGCAATTTTGCCAAAATACATACACTAGTGAACAAAACAAGGTTTTTTACCTATAAACTCTGTGACACGTCTGGTTTGGTGTAAGGACCCCCTTAAAGCTCTCTTTAATGGGCCACTGATTACAGAGCAATTATTTACTTCAGCACAGCTGCAGTTCACAGAGGTTTTAGCCACAGGGATGTCCTGTACTGCACGTATGCCTCATGAGGAAAAGCTCTTAAATAGCCAGGCTTAGGTGCAATCCAGCAGAGGCTGCTCGCCCCTGCAGCTCCTGCAATCCTCACACGATTCTGTCAGTGCCGTAAGCTGGAGCTTGTTCCCGAAACGCAGGTATGGGAGCCTTATCCTTTACTCAGCAATGGTTCTTATTGGGAAGGCTTCTAATTAGAGCAGTAAACTCCAGCTTTGTAAAGGAATAATTTACCTGAAAGCAAGAGCTATCACGACACTCTTTAACAGCCCAACAGGTAAGTATACGGGGCAGCCCATGGAATAGAGAAAAATACATGAGATACACTGTGAAATCTACAAACCAGAGGAGCTTTGGGGGAACGAGACTTTACGTTTTGAAGATAACAACATACAGAGATGCATAATAAACTGAAGTACCAGGGGTGATCAATTTGCAAGTATGTCTGGAGACAAGAGACACCATTCAGTCCTTTACAAAAGGGACTTCAGGGGAAACTGCAGATTTTCAAGTCATGGCTCTGTTAACATTGTCAACACTGAAAATGCTCTCTATTTTGAGGAGGTTCTCTATGCTTTAGCTGTAGGTAGGAAAATTTCTACTCTGCAATAACTGTCCTTTCTGGCAGTAAATTCTGCAGGATTCATGTACTAATCAATTAACATTCGACCCAGTGATTCTGGTGATATACTTCACTCCATGCAGAAAAAAACTACCCGAGGAATTTCAAACTGTTGGTGGAAGCCAAGCACAGTCTGAAGACCTCCATTAGCCAGAACAGTTTCTGCTATTACAGCGTCACCCTATCAACATGTCTGCCTCCCGGCCAGTTCCTGCTTGCTAGCAAAACCTGAATAATACATCCCACAATCAGAATTCTTAACTATTCGACTGAATACTAACATGGAAGAATAAAAAAGTTGTATTCTTAGGCCACAAGTACAATAAACAGAAGGGACAAGTTACCTTGAAGCTATAACCTTGATTTACAAGAAACCGTTGTCGCTTGGTTGAGTATGCCATCTCCTGAGTGTCTTGGGATACGAGGGAATAAAAAAAGGCGTTGTATTCCTCTGCAACCATGCCTAGGAGACAGAGACACAGAGTGATTATTTCCATTTGGAACACTGCAACCAAGAACAGAAAAGGACTGAAGAGTGAAAACAGGTGTTTAAATAAGCCCTCTCCGCAAAAACAACGTGTGAAGTTTAGCTGCACCCAGACCTTACATGAACTGATTGACACAGTACACAGCGTGGAAATTCCTTCTCTTGTTCTTAACTTGAGAATGGGCAAAAAGGCAAAAAACGGAAAAGGAAATGTACACTAACACAACGACACTGGTGCTCTGAGAAGAACCTGCTGCTTTATTATGCTAGGCAAGGTAAAAGATTTAAATCTATTACGTGAAGAAGAAGTTAAAAGTCAAGAGCCACGATTGCAACACACATCAAAAAAGTTCAATAGAAAAAGACAAAGGAAAAGTTTTATCAGTGTAAACCAGTGTTTTTGCATTAAAAAAGGCAAGACAAAGATATTTCACTAAGAACTCATAGGGCTACTTGAAGCCGAGGATATACCAGGCTGTGTACAGTTCATTTCTTTTACAATTAGAGCCCAGAGGCCAACAATCCCCTCATTTACCTTTTTTGGCTCTCAGCACTCGTCCCAGTCTTTGAGCCTCCTGTCTTCGAGACCCACCATGGGATGAAATCTGAATCAGAACGTTGGCTTCTGGCAAATCAAAGGACGTGTCACCTACCTGTAACAGAGAAGCAGCCTTTGAGCAGTATCTTATTTCCATTTACCATAAACAAAGACTTAATGCAAAATACACCTTTGTGAGCTGTGACACAAAGATACCAAACACACAACCACGTGTAACTCGCCCTTAAAGTTCACTCTAAAGATGTGTACAAGGACACACTGAATGTCCTCACTTACCTTGGAGATGAAAATAGTGTTAATTTTTGGGTTGTGCTTGAAGTTTTGTAGAATTTGCATTCTTTCTCCTTGCGTAGTAGGACCATATATATAGGGTCTGAAAAGAACAGAACATATGCAAATTAAATTAACTCAAGATTTCTCAGTCGTGTCTTAGGAGGTACTAGGGACAGCACGGCAGGCAGCGCAGTACACGTCTGAATCGATACAGAAACAAAACAGACGTTGGTACAGCCTGCAGTTTACGTTTGGCTTGTCTGGCTCTGCATGGCAGCCACCCAGTTTGTGGAACCTTCTGCAGCAACCCGGTCTGCCAGAAACAAATTCTGACAGTTATAAATGTTCTGCAATTACGTGCACCAATGAAGCTGTAGATCAACAGAATGAATACATTTGCTAAGCCTACACGAAAGACTGAAGGCAGCTGTTAAAATAAGAGATTTTTTTTTTCCTTAAATCTACTGAGTTAGCACATTGACAGCTGCAACCTTTGCTTCCTATTTAAACACTTGAAAATCCAGGCTTCTCTATCAATGATATGTGTCACAAGCTGCTTGCAGGATGTTGTTCTGGGAAAATTATTTCTGCTTTTGAAGCTAACCTCTTGCCCCTCCTAATACCTTCTGGGCCTACTGAAAGGAGAACAAGGTCCCAAACATTCCATGGCTACGAGCAGCTCACAGTGGCATTTCACCTAAGGTTTCTAACGTCTGATGATGAATCACCTGCAGCATTTCAAATATCAGCCCAGAAGGCTCACACAAACTGTCACCCACAGACTTCGTGAGTAACTTGGCCTACTCTGAATTTTCCCAGATTCTCTCTACAGTCTGGCTGTTTTCTTCCTGCCTAAGCAGAGTTAAAAAAAAATTAATCTAGAAATGGCAAAGCCCACATAAAAACTGAGAGGCATGCAGGAGCCCACAGCTTCATCTTTTGCACTGCTTTTCCAAATGTTCATTAACAACCATCTCCAAAATTCTACAATGTCTGTTTTGTTCACACTTCCATATGTTATTTCTAACACAAGGAACCTCCCTCAAATGTTTCATTTAATTATTAACATTGCACATACATGGGTGGTAGTTGAACATAAATATGCAGTGCACAGCATTAAGGTTTTCTATTCTTATCAACTAATTCCTGTGTGTTGGCTCCCCTTGCTTTCTTTACTACAAACTTCACCCAATGCTACACCGATTTTCTCTTTTTCTCTGAAATGCTCCCTTTTCCTCACTATAAAAAGGTATTTGAGGGATTTGCAAAGATGGATCCCTCTCCCATTAACTGACGTAACTGTCAAAACCACAGAGGCACAGTCCTTCAGAAACAGTGACTGAAACATATTCGTAACACCAGTACAAAGCAGTCAGCTCATGAGCTATCCATGACACTAGATGACAGACCCACGACAGAGTAAAAGCTGGCTTAGCACATCTGAATTCTGTGGCCCCAAAAATTATAGCCAAAATAATTCCTGTCGTATGCATGGTCTTTCCCTGCCAGTACCAAGGGAAATGGGGATAAGGCAGGAGCTGGCAGAGGCAGGCAGAGGACGACCATCTCTCCCTCCACCCGGGAGCTCACCCACCCCACCTGCGGGAATTAGGTCCTGAGTGGGAACTGCTCCGCTGGGCCTGCACTGGCCAGGCAGCCTCGGCCACTACTGCCATACCCACCGGGCTGCACTCTCTGCTCACACAGACTCCTGCCCCACTAAAACCAACAGCTCCTTTTGTGTCAGCATGCTCAAAGCAAACTACAGCAGAAAATTCTCTGCTTAAAATAAAGACTCCCTCACCTTTATCCAGCACTGCAAGCCTCCTTTCTTTCTAACACTGACGGCCGTGTAACCTGGAGCTCTGTACATGATGTGAAAAACACAGAATTCTCTCAAGAACATGAAAAGCAAGCACCTGGTATTTCTGTCCTGCTTCTACAGCACCTGTGCCACTTAACAACCTCTGTGCTACTTAGCAAGCACCTGCTCCCAGCATCGCCTTTGCTGAAGGCTTTTTCTGCGGTGCGCTGAACGCTGCTAGAGACATTCCAGAGGCATCATTAGAGCTAATCTCTGTCCAGACAGATTAAAAAAATGATGAAAGAGACCATGGGTGTTGGAATCCATCCAGCACCATTAGCTCTGCTTACTATTTGATGTCACAGCAAGCCAGCACAACGCGGCTGTTAAACTACAGCCAAAACTGATCACGAATTTTGGAAAGTGTAAGGCTTGTTTGTGGTTTTGCTAAGAAGTACTGCTGAAATTCCTAGACATGAAATCATACACAGCCAAAATGCCCCACAGCTTCTACCAAGCAAGGCATTATTCACTCTTGTCAAACAAAGGATGAGGCCACCTTCTACGCTTATTTTCATAGAATCACAGCATGGTTTGGGTTGGAAGGGACCTTAAAGCTCATCCAGTCCAACCCCTGCCATGGGCAGGGACACCTCCTACCAGACCAGCTTACCCAAAGCCCCATCCAACCTGGCCTTGAACACTTCCAGGGAGGGGGCATCCACAACTTCTCTGGGCAACCTGTGCCAGTGTCTCACCACCTTCACAGAAATCTAGTCTAAATCTACCCTCTTCCAGTTTACAGCCTGCTTTTGTAATTTTTTTTCCCTTGTATTTTCCCCAATAATTACTCTGTGCCAGATGCTGGCAAAAACTCTCCCCGATCATCCCTCCCCAAACCTTGCAAACACACTGATGCTAAGCCCCCCATTAAACTCTACTTGTACAACCACCCATAACTGCAGTCACGTTAGAGCCATTGCTAAGATCTCATGGGAGCTATAGCCTTTCACTGACTAAGCAACAACAGTCATTTCTAGGCAGTGCACTGGTACAGCCAATCTCTCTGTCTCAGAGAGATATGGGAAGCTACCATTCATTACAGAAATAAGTTTTAGTGGTATTTTTTAAAGTCCCTCATTTTCCCACTGGCTTTTAATAATAATAAAATGGACGTAGAAATACAGTCTTTCACAGAAATCCTGGGTGAAAACTCCCCTGAGGCAAGTGCTACACAGAGATTCTTTTGAAACAATTCTGTACCGAAATACTGTTGGCAGTACCAACAAAATCCATCCAAAGAAACAGCCTCAGAAGCTCCTTTTTATACAGGAGGATTGGAGTTAAATCAAAGTATTACAAGAAATATCTAAGCACTACTGAAAGCTGCGAGACTACAAGGCAATTTTCCAGAGAGGAGGAGAACAACGGTGCCATCGTTGGCTGTGAACACTCACTTCCCAAGTCTGATGGCGTACTCCTTCAGAGCAAACACGTTGTCAGCAAACACGATGATTTTATCGTTCCGTCGCTCATGAAACTTTATCAGGAACTCGCAGGCTCTGAATTTATTCGGGTTCATGGTGTACAGCAGTATCCGTTTCTTTGTCTTGATAGCTACGTATTCTCTATAAAATTCAGGTGACATTGGGCACCAAACCTAGATTTAGAAAAACATCAGCACAAACATGACGTAACCCTCCGTTATTTATTTCTTTCATTCCAGTGGGAGTTGAAAAGCTCCTGGGGGATGATAATGCATTCTGACTTTCTGTATAGCGCAGGGCACGGATTTTAATACAGCACCAAAATGAAAGCCGCTGGTTGGTGCAGCCTCCAGCACTGTCAGACTGTTTAACCTCATCCATATTCTCGCTTGCGCAGTGAGATTCATGACAAAAATAGGCAGTAGGATCAAACCAAGACCAGAAGATATTTACTTTATGTTTCATAGTTAATAATTTTACTGAATGCTACTACTTCTTACAGAGCAGTAATTAAGGGGATGAACTGTCTCTATAATCTCCCTGTCACAGCACTCAAAGCTTTTTCCTTAAACATTATTTTTCTTCCATATTCTGAAAGCTAAGAGACACATGTAGTCCCCACTACAGAGCAAATATACCAATTTTTTTCATATACCCACAAAGGAGTGACCTTTACTCTAAAAGCTATTGAGTCTACAACTTTCAAAACACAACTGATTAGAAGCTTTCAACAGTTTTCCCTAAGCAAGTATTTTATCACATAAATACACAATGCAGTACTGCACAAGTCTCATCTTACTGAAATATTTTTTCTGCTGTAGCATGAAAACAGAAGAAATTCTGAAGTTTAAAAGTTTATGCCAATGCAATGACACTATAGTGCATATGATCTAGAAGATATTCTAACGTGCACGGGTTATTCCCCTATATCCATTGCAGAGCACAAATTAACAGAATACTGTAAGAAAAGCCTCTTTTATAATCACTGTTCAGTTCAGGACGTTATGTGAGCACTGACAGGAGTTTACTTAAACAACCTGAATTTTTCTATACTGGCAAAAACTACTTGTTTCAAAATATTTCTTTCCAATGAGTTAAATGCTCAATGAGGCTTTTTTCATCCCTTGACTACATTAACCATAAGTTTATGTACTGAATAAGCTCAGCTGTAATTCTATGCTGTCTCTATGAAAGACTTAAAGTTCTTAAATCAGAAGAGAATATTTCAAAGTGAGAACGAGATAAATACTGAACATCTGACTGCAGTAAAATAATTCACCTAGTGCACAATGTTATGACTAGAGGGCAAACTGAATATGTTTTGATTTGCATTTGCACGCTCTTCTGGATTTGAAAGGATAAGATCGACTCAGCCCAATGATCTTTCCACTGCTGCACTTGCAAGACATGCATTTCCAAGCCAAAAACTTAGTATGGCAGCTGGGAAAGGGATTATTTGTAAATCACAAAACTCTGAAAATATAAAGAACAGGCTTGTTCTCTTGTTTAAAACTTTTACCTGTGCTGCTTGTGGAAGAGTAAGACAGCAGCACGACCCTCTCTGGCCACCTGGAGAGAGCCTCACTGAAACAGCAAACCAGACATCTTTCTTGGCTATAGGGAATAAACCAAGTTTATTAAAGATGCTACTTCCCAGACACATGTGCAATACAGTTGTGCACGTTATCAGACTTTATCAGCCGTCAACACTGCTTTTTTTGGTTCTTTGCTTTTGGGAGTCCCATCAAATGTAATTTCAAAACACTTTCTTATATAACCTGCAATAAAAACTTGCAGAATTCTTCCATCATTCAGAACAAAGGTAGCCCACGTTTCACTTGTCAATGCCTAAAGGTCAGTTCAGGGTCTGGGAAGAATTATGCTCCCTATGCAAAATTAACCAAAGTGACTAAACAGACAAATTGAAATTTGCAGGATGGCTGCTCTCCCTTCAGTCTGGTTATTTTCTAGCTGCTCTTCACATGCATTCTGTTACTGAAAATAACTGTGGGTTTTTCTCCTTCTACAACCTCCAGTTTGGACAAAGTTCAAAAGGAGGACAGCCGACCTGCATCTGGTCTTTAACTCCAGTATCAGAGCTAAGACGAAGTGCATGAAACTAGCAAGATGGGTTTAAAAAAAAACCCCAACAACCAAAAAACCCACAATAAAACCCCCACAAACAATGAAAAAAAAGGCAGCAAAAAAAGCACAGGAAAAGAGACAGTTAAGTTTTGAAAGTCCACCATAGCCCGTCATAGCTGCTAATACTTTACTTCCATTCAACGGGAGTCCAGACAAGTTCATGCAAAAGAAACCCACTGATGGTTACACAGAAACAACAGAGAGCTGGTAAATGACTGAGGGCTTGGAGAAGAATCAGGAGAAGTCACAGACAGATATGTGTGCCCTGTTTTTATACTCTTCCCTAAGTATCCTCCTTGACAATTATCAGAGACAATATATTAAGTTAGACCTTCAGTCTGACCCAGAAAGGTTACTTTAATGTTCTAATGTGCCTGTGTGAAAGGTTTCCACTGCTCTGACACTAGGTTTTTCTCTGGAAAGAACAGAGGTCACATCATCATACTGGAAAGAAACAAGATCCACTCCTGTTTTCAATTTCCACACTCATGCATTCAGGCTTAAAATACGCAGGTGTTTTCTTATGTCTTTTAAACTTTCTACTCTGGTTGGTTTTAAGAGTTACAAGAATTTTCCTCAAACAACTAAAGTCTGTCTACCAACTGAAATCTCTAAAGAGCAGCTTCCAGCACACCACCTGATGTTCTGCTCATCATAACACCGTGTCCTGCTACCACACAGAACTGAGCTTAAGACACAAAGCCAGGCAGCACGGATGTCAACTGCATCAAACCAGGTCTACAACACTGCAAGCACCGTTCGTGTTTCCAAACGCTGATTTGGAGACAGCCGATCACGTCCCACAGCCCCCGCACAGAGAGAGCGCCGCAGTCACTCTGAGGAACACACGGCCGAACAACACTTGGCTACTGGATTTGCCACATGTTCACTTTGACTGGTGAAACCCTTGCCTAAGCTACAAAGTTAATTAAGTCATAAGGATACTTGTTTTTCCCCAGTTTGATATTGACAATTTTGTACACCTTCCTTAAAAAAAAATGTCATAAGCATAATAAATATACACTAATAGAACCAAAAAGCAGAGCATCACCTCAGCACACTGGACTTTAGCAATGTAGCCACTGTTCTGCAGCTCCATCCAGTTGGCTTCATAGAGCTTTGGTCCAATCAGGAAGTTCAGGTCAACAATTTTATCATCTTCTCTGACCAGGGTAGCAGTCAGGCCCAGTTTACAATGAGCTTGTACAATAGTGAGCACACGTCTGAACATTTTTGCTAAGAAACGGAAGACAAATTTTCTGTTGACTTTCATTAATGGATTTAGAAGACAAATACTGCAACTTAAAAAAACCACTTTTATCAACTTCTGAACACAAAGCAAGCACAGCGCTGGGAAATTCTACCCCATTACACATACACTTCCAACAAATCTGTGTTACAGCAAAGCTTCACACTGACTGCAGCTGTAGTTTACATCTTCAGTGTACTCTGAGAATCCCAGTAAGCCTTCTGACAGCTTTATTATTTCCCATTTCCCAAGAGAAAATTAACAAACTCTGAAGTGACAAGGCTTGCTTTAGGTCATATAATATTTCATATAAGGAATTATGACACAAGGACTCTTGGGTGATTGCTACACTGAGGAATTCTAGTATATGGCAGAATTAGTAGTCCTCAGTATTGCTAGAGTGTCTGTATCTTCTATGAAACTAAGAAAGAACAAAAGTGAAAAAACAGTGGCACTAACACGCTACTTTGATAAAATTACAATTAATCACCAAGGGCTACTTCTGAAATCCATCATTTCTGTAGACATCAAATCAATATTCAAACCAAATCATGAGAAGGTAGAGCAGCTGACAGAATCCTGGGTGGTATTTTTAGCCAAGATTATTCCACAGACACTTCAATACTATGTTACTGCTTTCCCATAGTACAGATCTTAACTAAATAATTCAAACACAACAGCTATTTCTGGACAGTAATCACCACTGTTGCTGATATTATGGAGTAGGAATAGATATTAAAAGCTAGCCTACAGTGCCACTACATCTCAAAAGAAAGCAAGCAGGCAGATGAATTCTTCTCCTGTTCAAATTTGTCCACAGCAGAATTATACAGATGTTACCGAGGCGAAGAGCTCCTGAG